TGACAAGAACCTCCTGGACCAACCTGACTCTCCTCTAGAGGTTAGTTTTTTTCTGATCAGCTTTAGCTACTTTTTGTTATCTGTTTGAGTCAAGATTTATTTATTTTTTTATGTTTGCAAGCATTCGTTTCAGCACAATGGACAGCATGTTTTAGCTCTGCTGGAAACAAATCACAGTCACAGGTTCATCTGATGTTAAGATGTTTTACGTCTGATTTATTTTATTTTTTTAACTACTTACTTTTTGGATGACCTACCTTTTTTTCTTTTTTTTCTGCACATTTTCTTAATGCACCAATCCTGTATTTTTGTGGTAACCTTTTTTTTTTTTTAAATATATTTTCTGTTTTATAGTTTGGTAACATATTAGTGTTTGTTTCTGTCAACTTATATGATAATTGACATTTTTGAAAATTTACATAATGATGGTATAAATATATATTTAAATACTTTCCACAAAAACATCTTTCTGGATTGGTGCAGTTAGGTTATTGTCTTTTTGTTAGGATCCTAAACACATTAACCAAGTTTTTATTCTCCAATCTTGAAGATTTTCTGTGCAGTTCTTTGTGTGTATCTATCTAAATAATGTGATTATTCACTATGTATAAGTGTGCAAGTATTTTGTGAACGTATATTAATCTCTACAAGTTGTGACTGTTATGACAATCTTGACATTTGTCTCAGACTAAATTAATCCTTCGCTGTTCTTGAAACTGTTTTAAAGTTGCTGCACTTGCATCAGGCTAAAAACCTTCATTTTTGTCAGCTCATAGCCTGCATCAAAGTCTTAGTCTTAGATAGTTTAGCAGATAATTTATCTGATGAAATCATATTTTCTAAATGTGCTGTTTTATATTGTCACTGTGCACAAAACAAATCTTCTAACAGCTAAAATATATATTTGCTTAACAAACACGTAGCTTATATTTTGCATCATTTTGAAGTATTGGGTCTTCTTATAAAACCTTTCAACTCATCAACTTCTCAAACTGTTTAATCAAAGTATTTTTAATCAACTTGGAAACATTTCTTTAAGGAATATCATTAATTTGATTCATACTTTATATATTTTTCTCTGTTTATTCTTCTAAGATAGCATTTCTGTTCACCCTTTTGAATCTTTTTTTAGACATCAGTCAGATTTATTTGTTGTTTTCTAAAACTACAAACACATCATATTTAGTTTAACACTGCAGAGGACATCAGAAAATATTTTAGTCCATCTTTTTTGCATTTGTTACTCTTAGTTTTTCATATTGTTGCATGTTTGTTTGTTTGTTTACTGTATTGTTGTCCAGCTCATACTTCATTATGATGAGCTTCTCTGCTGATTTGATAAATAATTGTTAACTGACAGAAAACAGCATGCAAAACTTTTGCACAACACACTAGTAAGCATTGTTTCAAAAATTGACTGATTTCATATTTGGTTCCTTATTTATTCCCTTTATATCCCATTTGTTAATAAAGCAACAATATGTTTACTTGTTAAATCTACTGTCTTGTTTATTTTAAAAGTTTAAGCTGTATTGTATGCATTATTTAGCCTTCAATACAACAAGTATTGCAAAACTCCTTGTCACTCTCTTGAACTGATCAGACATGTGTCAAAACGGAAACATACTAGTAATTCTGAACATTGCACTTTCAACATTTGAACTTTTTTTTTTAATAAAATAGCAATATTTTATTTTCAAAGTACCTTAAATGTATGTGCTTTTCCAACAATACAATACCATTGAATGGTTAAATGATAAAATAAACTAAAACATACTTTAAAAAAAAACAACCTCTAGAAGTCATAAGTAATTGATTTTAAACGATTAGCCTTGTAATATTTTTGTATAGTTCATGATAAGTAGCATATGAGCGTTTTTTTTTTTATTTTTTTTATCCATAATAATTTACTTTATGAGGCGTTCTGTCTTCCTCTCACTTCTCCTGATGCAGTGAGATGTTCTGCAGTGCACAAATGTGGACTCTCGGGGCCGCTGTTGGCTAAAGCAACGAATTATTCCTCTTTATGAAACATTGAACAGAGGAAGAGACGCTCATTCAGCACACAGACGTCGAGGCTGCGCAGCGGAGACTCTCTTTCTGTAATTTATCTGGATTTTTTTTCTGCGTACGGAAGTTGTTTTGTTTTTTTTTTTCCCCTGGAAATTATTTTACATTGACGAGAAAATTAACAAATTGGAATAAAAACCTCCGGGCACCCCGTATTTTGTCGAGGAGAACATGTCGGGCAGAACAATGAGATGGCAAGTACGGCTGCTGATGCTGTTTTTATCTCTCGGCTCTGTGCTCGGGCAGGTTACATACTCGATCCCAGAGGAAATGTCAAAAGGCTCCCGGGTGGGTAACATAGCACAGGATTTAGGGATAGATGTGCAAAGGTTAAAGTCCGGCAGAGCGCGGGTTTACACGGAGGACAAAGCTGAATACGTGGAGCTGGACGCAGGCAGAGGACTGCTGCTGGTCAAAGAAAGGATCGACAGGGAGGCGCTGTGCGGGCAGACAACCCCCTGCGCTCTTCATCTGCAGATTACACTAGAAGACCCGATCGAGTTCTTCTCTGTTACTGTGGAAATTAATGACAACAACGATAATGTACCCACATTCAAGAAAGAGGAGATGAAGTTCAGGATCAGCGAGTCGGCTGTTGTTGGAGCAAAATTTGTGCTGGAGCGAGCGATGGATCTGGATGTGGGTGTGAACAGAGTGCAGGGTTATTCACTGAAACCAGCAGATAATTTTAATCTGAACATTCACAATCAGCAGGATGGAAGTAAAAATGTCGAGATGGTTTTAAAAAAGCCACTAGACCGAGAGGCTCAGGATCACATCTCATTAATCCTCACAGCTACTGATGGTGGAGAGCCTCAGTTGTCGGGAACAATGCGAGTGGAAATCTCTGTGCTGGATGTTAATGATAACGCGCCCGTGTTTACACAGAAAATGTATAAAGTTACTGTCCCAGAAACTGCCCCAAGAGGCACAAATCTGTGCACAGTGAGCGCTACAGATGCAGATGAAGGCTTAAATGGGAACATTTTGTACTCCATAGCTAACACTTTAGATGAAATCCATATTATGTTTCAGATTTCCGAGGAGAGCGGTGTTGTATCTTTAACTGGAAGCTTGGATTATGAAAAAACACAGATTTATGAAATACATGTGCAAGCTAGTGATGATGGAGGACTGACAGATTCATGTAAAGTTATTGTTGAAGTGACTGACATTAACGATAATCCTCCGTCTATAAATATTATGTCTAAAACAAATTCTATATCTGAAAATTCTGAACCAGGAAAGGTTGTCACCATATTTAATGTTCAAGATCCAGATGCAGGAAACAATGGGATGGTTGATTGTAGTATTGCAGAGCACATCCCATTTTTATTAAAAGCGACGTCCAAGAAATTCTTTAGTTTAGTGACAGACAGTGAGTTAGACCGAGAGAGAGCCTCTGAGT